CTCTCTCTCTCTCTCTCTCTCTCTTTGGGGAGTGCAAGTGTTTTCTGGCAAAAAAACCTTTAAAAAGATTAATAATAAATCAATAATAAAAATTTTAAAATTCTAAAGCTAAATTCAAGATTTTGAGTTAAGCGAGGAATACGAATAAACTCTAACCTCATTTCAGTGCTGAATTTGAATCAATTTAGGTTTCTATCATCTATCTACAATGCCTAACCATAAATTGTAGAGAGCACCCAGACGGAAGCAGGGTAGGCTAAAGGCATCCATTTAACGGACTGGGTTGTTTAACACAAGTGACGCATTTCCGTACATATTTATAAGGCTCCGCGGTTATTATTAGGCTGTAATTGCAGTTGTTCTAACACCTAATAAGCCATGGTTGGAAAAACAAAGGCAGGTTAATTTGTGATTTCCTCCGCTCATTCAGAGGCAAATTAAGTGTCAAACAGCTAATACAGAACATATTTCATTTTATGAGATTTTAATTTAATTCTGCACCCTATCGTTGATGCCTTAATATAGGGTGGTTTATCTAAAAAGCAGAGCAATTTATAAACCTCTTTCAATAGAATCTTTAATGATAGGCTCTGATAGCTTAATTATCACAGCTCCTGCCGACTTCCACACAGAGACCTGTCGGCACTCCCATCAACGCATTCCGACTTTGGAGGGACTTCTAATATCATTTTTAAAGTTGGTGCCAGAAGAACAATACTGCATGCAATTTAATGAGGATAGCTTCCAATTTGGTATTCTTATCATTAAAAATATTTATTCTAAAATTTCAGGGAGCTTGCAGGATCTTATTTTCTATTGGATAGTTATTGGGTCGTCAAAGAAGTCATGATGTATTTTTCTATGTTTTTCTATGCACTGTGACTTTTCTGAAGACCCAATCGTTACACAGCAAGCATCTTGGAATTCAAGCTCTACACCTGAATCATCTTATTTTTCCAGAGCACTGCTTCACTCCTCAGCAAAGGTGAAGAGTAAACTGAGGCACATTCACCTAGATTCCCTCTGCTTTTCAAATGCTCAGTAGCTTCCCCTGAACTCGCCCTGGAAGATGTGAAATCAACCCAAGCCCTGCCACAAAACTAGCCAGAATAGAGACTCCCCATAGCTTTCAGGCTCCTCCTACCTGTCTCAACCGCTAACCCTCAGCGTCTGCTGAGCGATGCACCGCTCAGAGTGCTTGTGTGAACACCTGAAGAGCTGGGTAAGGCAGGTGGCTTCTTCAACATGAAGAAATCAACCCACGCGAGGGCAAGGGACCAGATTTCACAGCTCAGGTGACAGGTAGAGCAAGAACAAAACATCAAGTTCTCTGCCTGCCCATCTGTTGTCCCCAAGCCTGGACCAACAAGAGTGTCCACTCGGCACCTTCTAGCACACATCTATCCCAGCACTGGGACTGCCCAGAAAACTAGCAGCGGCAGTGACGGCCGGAAGCATGTGACCAAGCAAGAGGAAAAGACACACAAGGTTTGGGGAAACAGCCTCTGGGATGGATGGCCGGCAGGGGACATTTGAAATAAGCCTCAGGGATAAATAGCAGGATCCCGAGCAGAGAGGGAAGGCCACGATGGGCCATGGGAGAGAATGGCATGTTACAGAGGACAGCAGTATGATCTGCTCCAGCTTCTCAGAGCTCGCTTGCTAAGTTCGGGGTTCACCCAGGGACTGACCAGGACACAGCAGTGACAGTCCTGCTCTGACCCTCTCAGGACTCCTCTCTTGCTCTGGATTAGCGACCAGCCTCACTTTACACACTGTCGATAATGACACATTTAGGCTACGAGGGAAGCTGCACTGAGTTGCTGCCAAAGTTTCCTAAAACTTGGGTGAAAAAGCATGAAGTAATAAAGACCACAGAAATGCCAGCTCAACAGTCACACCTGAAATACAAGAAAATCCCCCTCTGACCACCCCTCAGGACTCTCCAGACCCGCCCTGCCTTATCTTGCAGGGTCACCCCATGAACCAAGAATGAGGATGAAACAGAAAAGGGCTGAGAGCAATGGTGAGGGTCCAGAAGGGTTTGTTGTCATTGTGTCTGCTGAAAACACAGCCCTGTAGTATCTGATAAAGTCAGATTTGAATTTAATTATGAGACAAACTCTAAGGAACCCAGAGACAGCAGTGCACCAAACACATACATGCATTTCTTAAAAATGTCTCTAGAACATGACTGTGTGAAGAGTGAACAATTTCTACATTCCCTAGAAAAATCTGATTTAAATGATTACATCACGGGGGCCTCAAGTCTGGGAAGAATCAGCCACTCATGCCTCCTATAGGGCCACACCTGCCCCCGCGTTCTCTACACCATGGGGTAGATCTCACTCCGAGACCCACGTGGTGTCCTCTGTGCCATGAAACCTCTGTACAGTGGGGTGAATTCGGTCACAATTCAGACCAAATTTGGAATTCCCTTCCGTTTGTACAGGGGATTTTAAATCGACTTCCTGGTTCTGTTTGAGTGCATGTTAAGCAGGCTTTGGGACTCTGTAAATACTTGTGTTCCAGTGAAAAGTCAAAGAAAGAATAACTCACAAGTTTCTGCATTCTCTATAAATACCCACTTCTCCGTTAATGCTTATAGCAGTCTGCAACACAGATTTATTACCCACCTCCAGGCAAATCTGCTCTGAAATTAGAATTCAGTAATGGGAGATGGATCCAAAAAACTGTTGGTAAAATATTATATGTGTATTTGGGCATGTAGTTAGGGTTGTTAATATCAATTAATTCTGCTCACAGAGGAGGACTTGTTTTAAAACAACTTCATTTTTCTTTGGCATAATATGTAATTACACAGCTGTAACTAATAGTCGTGGAGGTGCAATCTACCATCTAAATAACCAGCATTATTCTTCAAAGTATTATTTGTGCTTTTCTAACTTTACTGTCAGAGCGAAGGGTGATTATTAGATATGACTAAATGTACGTATCAAGGCCATTAGCAAGGGACAGCCTCTCCCGGAGCATGGCTCTAATTATTCCAGCAGATGACAGCTTTCTGGACACTATTACAAAAGCGAACTGCTTCAGTCTGCAAGCCCACTATTCTTTTATCCTTAAACTAAGTATGGTGATATTTATTTCCACAGGAGATTTTTTTGGTCTTTTTTAATATATGTAACCACCACTGTTCTTTCCTTTTATCTTTGTGTAAACCGTGCTTGGTCACATTTGCCATTTTGTTTGGGTGACATTCCCATCAATCTAGTGACTGTTGCTGTACGCAGCACAAAGAATATGAAAACTTACCGCAAAAATTTCATTATGATGCAGTGTGATGCCTGGAACAGGACTTTCATGTAGCAGAAATTTTAAGCATGAGACTTCAAACCTAATCTCAAACAAATGCCTATTCTGAGTGGTACCTTTCCATTAGAACTTCTAGTTGTTAATTTCATATTTACAGTCCACAGAACACGTGTCAGCAAAATATACAGGAAATACCTGCCAGCTCCCCGGTGTGACAGGCATTCCTCAGGAAGCAGTAGAGATTTGCTTCAATGACTCCAGGAACAGTCAGGCTTACTGCATTTCAAAAGTAAATCTTACGCTTTCTTCTGTTTTTTTTAAGATTTTTGTCATAGGAAGTGTGCACTTGCCGGAGAGACACAGGAGAAAGAAAGAAATCACCCCCAAGGGCGGATGGCCAAGACACAATCCCTTCTCCATCACCCTGTTGCGATTTTGGTCATGTACGCACAAGTGCCTGGAGTGACTTTCAAGCTACTGAGGCTGGGGCTCAAACCATGGTCAGTGGGAGTCTAGCCCTTTAGCCACCACACCGCCTGCTGGCCTCAAATCTTACACTTCTATCACATCTTGAAAGCTCAGTAGATGTGCCATTAACAGAAAGTCCTGAGATACTGAAGACGGTATTGTGGTCCATGTCGTTAGCGGGTGAGGTGTGAATACTTACATATGCAATGGAGGAATAGGAGATGGGTCATAATGGTAACGGCCCTCATGATGTCTCGCATCAATTGGTACAGGAGGATGGAAGGCAGGAAACAGATGGGGAGGGTCTGAAAAAGAAAAAAAGTTCAAACTATATAAAATTAGCACTTGGAAGGAGCCTTTCAAGTCACGAAGCATCACCACGAAACTACCTCCACTACTTACGCTGAATCTACTATGAGAACGTGTGGAAGACCTCGCTGAAGTTCACCCTGAGGGTGCAGGAGGTACTGCAGAGGTACCTCTGAGCAAATAGTGCCTGCCCCTGAGAAAGCAGCGCCCATCGAAGCACACGAACCCAGACAGGAGATCACAGAAAGGCCAGCCAGAGAGCTAGGGCTCAAAGGAGCTACAAGGCCTAGAGATTCCAACCCACTTACCAAAATTACACTGCCAAGTAACTTTTAGACAAAGACACTGTAATATAAATACTGGTTTTCATTTCTCCCATGCCCGAGATACTTTGAAAATTGTCCTTTCTAAAAGTACAAGCTAGAATCCATCATACATACATTTATATATATATATGAATATATGTGTTTAATTTTCTTAGATTTTTGCTATAGGACATGTACATTCCCCAAAGAGAGAGAAACAGAAAGCGGGAAATCACCCCCCAGTGGGGATGGCCACACCGAAATGAAATCTCTTCTCCTCCATTCTCTTCTCAGGATCTTGGTCATGTACACCCATCCGGCCGCCAGGTCCAGGTGACTTGAACTGCGGTCAACTACGTGGGAGTCCAGCGACATAACCATTATGCCACCTGCTGGTCCTTCTATTTATTTATATCTAACATTTATTTATCTATTTATTTGTTGCTGTCATTTTCAAGCCAATGGGTCCAGCACTAGAACCACGGTCAGCCATATGGGAATCCAGCACCTTAACCACCATGCCATCTGCTGGCCCCAGACACACTTTTAAAATTTATATGCATGTTCCAGAGCAGGACAGTAGTGCAGAGGTAGAATGTGTCACTCTGAGAAGCGTCCGAAGACCTCCCTGAGTGTGCTGGGAACGCATGCCCGTGATCCAGGGTTGGTGAGGCTGGGGTGGGTCACGGTGTCAAGACCTTTTGCTGGGATGCTGCTTGTCTTTCTCTTATTCATGGAAAAAATTTAAAAACTTTAAAAAAAAAAAAAACTCTCTCTATCCCTCTCCCAGCCTGGTCATGGAGTCAATGGGAAAGTGAACAGCAGTGCTGGGAACCGTGTGGCCGACGAAGGGTTCAGATTCCCAGGCCAGCCTGAGATCAGATACAGCGTATTCGCACCTGCTGGCTATCTTGACAAGCTGGAGGGCCGGGAGAAGGGGATCGCCGCGTGACAAGATCTAAAGATGCTTCTCTCTCTCCAGCATGCTCTCTATCACGAATAAACTTCACAGAAATAATAAATGCACATTCTCTTCCTTTTCAGCCTGAGTTAGGCCTCCAAACTTCCAATACAAAAGCAACAGGCTGTCCAGAGAAATACTGTGCAGTCTAGCTGATGAGAGAACTGGCCCACTCGACTCAGAGGGAGGCCCGGCCCCTACCTTAGGGAATTCCCACCGAAGTGGCCCTAACATCAGCTTGGAGGCAGGCCAGCCTCCCCTCCTGGACTCCCTCTGGCCTTCTAGTCGGGAGTTCTGGGCTCCCACTGTGTGCACTTCCTTAAAATAGCTCCTCCATTCCCATGTATCTTAATAACAGACACCCACTGTCCCTTGCACATCTTAGGGTAAATTTCTAATTTTTTAAGTTCACTGTAAAATGGCAGTGAGTCTGTACAGCTCTTATACTCTCAAGTGTGGCTATTATCTTATAATTGTACTCAAGTTTTCCCCTCATTTGACAAACAAAATAACGGAATCCAAGACCTGGGGGTCTGTCCTTCCTGGCTGTGGGACAGACAGCTCCTCAGAGTCCCTTCCACGCATGCCACCCTGGAGTCTGTGCAAAGCCAACATCTGCAGGGATTGATACGTATACCATGCGAGTCTCCAAGGCTTTCTAGCGACTTCTAAAAGTCTGAAGATTCTGCCTCAAAGCCAAGGGTAACGTGTTCCAACGGCAATAAGAAACGCTCCACTGCAGACAGTTCTGAGACACTGTTGGAAAGAAGTGCGGAGCATCTGCGTGGGGTCTGGGAGGTTGCATGAAACACATAGCAGCTAGCAGGTGGACGGCACCCCTTAGCGTGTGGACGGTGCCTCTTAGGGACCTCTTGGTGTGTGGACGGTGTGTGGACGGCAACTCTTGGCATGTGGACGGTTCCTCTTAGTGTGTGGATGGTGTCTCTTAGGGACCTCTTGGCGTGTGGACGGTGCCTCTAAGTGTGTGGATGGCACCCCTCAGCTGGTGACACCGGTTCGTAGGAATTTTCCAAAGTGGAAGTGGATGACTATTGTGAGTATGCACCTTGAGTTCTAGTGGTTTTGACTATTTTTTTCTATATGCATTTCTCTATTTTCCAGTTTTTAATAAGCATCTTTTAAAATGTAAACATACCAAACTTTTTTTTTTTTTAAATAAAAAGTATAATGTTACTTCTCTATTTTGAATTTTGCTTTGGCTGCTCCCTTTGAGAATCTAAGACTACAGTTAAGGAGAAAAACATAAACTAAAAAGTGAAAAACTCTCAGCATGGCATTGAGAGAGGGTGTGCAGTCTGCCATGTGTGATCTCAGAAATGTAATTCTCCTAGTTTACCCCCAGATGTAGAATGGAAGAGACCACGTGAGGAGTGTTACGCTGAAATTACACTGTAATTTGTGCTTGTTGAAAGACTGCACAGGGAGGATGGGTGGTGTATGGGATCATTTTGGTATTCTGTATAACTGTCAGCATTTTGGTATTATTTATTACTGTCACTGTGACATCATGATTCAACAATCAAGGAAATTCAGTGGATGATCACTGACTGCTCTTCATACTCTATAAAAAGGCCACTGTATTTTAAGTTTACCACTTAGGACATCATATTAAAGGATGGGGAGTTAGTTCTTTTGTATAGGAAATACTGAGAGCTGAATTGCTAAATTTGAAAGTTTCCACTGCCCAGCAATGTTTGCAAATTCACTGTCACACGGAACTCAGCACCCCTGACCATGAACAGCCAGGCCCTGGAGAGCCAAAACATTCTGCCTAACTGTTTTCTATGAAAAGCTGTCATCATCTTTAAACAACATAAAATTGAGTGCAGTAATCTTTCTCATTAGTTTGAAAGTCTGACACATCCTGAGTGAATGTTTTCCAATTTTCATTTTGAAGCAGACTAAAGTCAATCAGATTGAAATCCTGGCTAAGGTGGTGGGCGTCATATATAGAGGTGGTCCTTAACACTAACAGTTACCCTAATACTATCCCTTTACGCTCTTCAGGGGGTGATGGAAACACACATGGTCCCTGCAGACTTCTTACCTAACACACAACACAGCATCTGCTTTGGAAGTCAGAGAAATACACTTTCTAAAACTGCCTGTTAATAAAGCATTCATAAAGCCTGCCTATGGGCTTCGCACATGCACCGTCTTATAAGGGTGTTTGGAGGGACATGGTGACACAGGTCAGGGTTGGAAGGTATTTTTCCTTCTTTACTTCTTGGCTCTTGGCCATGTTCTGCATGATTAAATTCTCTTCGCCAGGTAAGTGGGTGTTAACTGTATCTGGTTTTCTCTACATAGGTGCAGCTATGAATTATGAGGAAGTATAAACCCGCATTTTTCAGACCCGCAGGGCTCAACACATGTGAATTTCTTCCACGTTTAACATATGCCTCATATATCCAGGAAATAAGAGTCATGCTGTTATATGAGTATTTGTGACGAAGTTGCAGTGACTATGTGCACAGAGGCATAGACCAACCAACTAATCCTAAAAAATCAAGAGTGTCCCCACACAGTCTAAGAATTTCTGCCCCAAGGAAAACCTACAACACTATTGCAGACTTTTAAAAGACATGCTCATCTTTTCATTTTTAGAATTTAAATTTACTCTGCTTATTGTCTCTTCTTTTTTAAGCACAAAGGTCATGGGCCAGCAGGTGGCATGGAGGTTAAGGCACTGGACTCCCACATGGCCAAGTCCACCATTCGAGTCCCAGAGCTGGTAGCTTGAAAAGCATGTCCGGTACATGTACATGCATGCTCAAAATTTAAAGAGGGAATGGATTGAGGCGTGGCCATGCCGACTGGGGGATGATTCCTCTCTCTAGCAAGTGCATGTGCCCAATAGTAAAAACAAAAACAAAAACAAAAAAGAAAAAGAAAAAAGAAATGAAGGTCATTTTGACCCAATCCTGCAAAACCATTCGAGAAGAAAATATAAAACAGAATGAAAGGGCCATTTAGTAGTCATTCCTCACTGTTGAGTCTACAGTGTTTTGTAGATTTAAAAGTTAATTCTCACACTGAAAGTATGTGGTGCATCTTTAACACTGTTTGCACAAAGCGTTTATCTATGTCCCAGGAAAGTTTATGAGATCTGCATTCCAGAATTAGGTTTACATAAAAGAACCGAAAATTAATGAATAGGATCTGACTTGACCAAAGACATCTGGCTTCTGTTGAAGTGTTCCGCTATTTCTATATCTCCCTCTTGGTTAAGTTTAAAACAACTTTGCAGTCTGTGTGAATAATTAAACCTTGGGCTGATTATTAGTACGACACACCCCTTAAGCTACTTTCTGGAAAAGTGTAATGCAATAATCCTCTTCCAGTTCAAGACGTGCTTAGCCACAGCTCAACGCCACAAGCAAAGGCAAAGAAGAGCATATGCATGTCCTTTAACATCTACGGCATCACGTGATCCCACTCCCCACGCGGTTCGTAAAACACACTCGCAAATCCGCACACGTGGAGCATCTGCCTCGGATCTTGGTTTTCCGTTTCCATGGGATCAGCAGCCTATTCCATCAGAGGCCCCAAACACTGTCCCAAAAAACGCAAGTGACAAGACTTGGCCCAGGTCGTGGCAGCCACCACAACGCTCCACCCCCCTTCGGTGATTATTTACGCGCGAGCAGCGCAGCTGGGGCGCATCGGGACTCAAGTGCATGTGTAATCAGTCACTGCAGCGCAGCGT